CAGGCTGCTGAACATGTGAGTTATGAAGTAGATTATCCAACACCCAAATACTGGCTTGTCTGAGACTTCAGATAAGGGTATGATTTAAATGTATATATGCAATCTGTAAAAAGTAGCGGCAGTGCAAAAAATAAAATTATAGGTTGCATTGTAGGTAAATTCTATGGTGTAATCACTTCAGATGGGTTTGAAGTGCAGTTTCCTATACTTAATTCTCTATTCCTATTTTTCTGCTCCTTACTATTTCTTAGATAAATTTGGATTAACTTTTCTATGGCTCATTGCTTACCCTAGTCATTTCCTGAATTTCAAAAATGTCATTGAACATGTCTTTGTTAAAAATAATAATAAGCTATTAAGCTAGCTTATTCAGCATGCTCAAGTCAAAAGATATGTACCATCGTTAAACTGCAGTGAATGAATGGATTTTGTAAGGAGGCAGCTTGTTCACTGGAATTTGTTGAGCTCTATAGAATAAGCCAAATTTGAAGAAAAAAATATATACTTAATATTCGAAGTTAGAAAATCTGAAGGGCTTTTTGATGAATGTGGAGGATGATTTTCTCTGCTCTGTTTACAGCTTAGACCATTAGGACAAAGATTGAATATAAATGTTAACATCAAATTGTTTGAGGCCTGGTGTCTCATTCTGCTTTGGAAGGATGTGGGGAAAAGAGGTTAGGAAATTCTAACATAAGTTCTGGGTTTGATTTAAATGCTGACTTATTTAATCTTGCTATAACTGTTTCTGTAAAAATGCTTCCTTGCAATGACTATGAAATTTCCCAATGTTTACAACATTATAGAAAGCTAGAGGTCAAATTCTGGTCAGAATGTATCTCATACATAATCAGGTTCCTCATAGTCCTGATGGACAACATTAATAGCAGTGGTTGGGAAGCATCTGTACCCCTGCATACTGTTTCCCACACCAGAGGAGTGACTTGAAAAGAATCAATTTTGTGTACTGACAGAAGAGCATTGGTTAAACCAGGAAATGAGTCAGGATGTTCAGAGCACCAGCTGAGCTTCTAGGTGCGGTGGAACATTTTCCCTTTTGTCACTGAGCAGCATTCCTTCCAGCTGTAGCTTCACATGCACTAGGGTCAATGCTCTCCACCTCAGAGAACACAGCAGTGGAAGTGCTGTGCTCCATGCATAATTTTGTGTTTTGCTTATATAAATGGAAAATAGGATGATGGTTTATTTTGCGGAATTTGGACATAGGCATGCAGGATGCTGACTTCAGTGAGACATCCCCTAGGACTTCAGTGTAGCCTAATGATCATGCGTTGGAATGACTGCTGCTTCAATGTTGATAAATGGCATTTAATCAGCTAAAGGAGTGTGACACTATGTGCTTTCAGTCTTGGAATACAAGTCTTTACAGAAAGATTAACACTTAGGTTCACCCTCTGCTTGGATATTTATGAGATCTTGCTGAAGTCTTTGAGGCCCTCACATTTTAATGCATTTGCAAGGCTGGGCATTGAATAAATGAAGAAAAGTGTGCTGTATGCAAAGGGATATTTAATCATCCTGATTTCTCCAGATTGCTCCTCTGCAGAAAAAAAAGAAAAACCAAAACCCAAACCATTTTGCCAAGTGGCCTGCCCCTTTTCTCTTTGCCTAACTGAATTTTGTTTCTCTTGTTATCCAGGAGTTAGGAAAATGTTTCTGCGATTTCACTGAATTTCCCTGCGAACATTTTCAGGTTAAAATGAATGGAGATACTTTGTCTGAATACTTTCAATTTGTAATGATTACATATTTAATAACAAATATAACTTATATATTTAATATAAATATCTAGGTGATTGGAATAACTTTACACAGGATGTAGGTTCTTGGATTAGACAAGTTTTCTTCTTCCTATGACTGCATTAGTAACTACATTTATTAAAGACATAAGTCAAGAGATTGTTAAATATGGATCCATATAAATATTAAATGTTAAGCTTTCTGCTGTTTGCTTCATAAAGTATATTGTTTATTGTGACAATACTTCATTCTTTGCTTTTCTGGTTTTAGGGACGTCTTTAATGTTTCAGCAATATTGTATGCTCAAAATACTTCAAGAAGTCACAATTATTTAAAAAGAAACATTTGACTACAAGTCAGGCAAATTAAAATATCGGTTATTATCTCTCAACAGATTTTACCTGATTAGTGGTGGAGTTCCTTTCATTATATGTGGGATTACAGCAGCAACCAATATCAATCATTATGGGATTGAAGGCAATGCACCATAGTAAGTATAAACTATTATCATAAAATTTTAAAGGAAAACATTCTTTTTCTTATGCTGTTAAATGTAACTGACTTCATAAAGAATACAGACCTGCCATTTGGGAGGACATTTGTTACGAAATCTTATTAAATAATAGCTATGAAAGAGCAATGTCTTAATCTGGGGATTGTTGCTTCACCTCTAGCAATTTGACTCTATTACTGTCAATAGAATCACTTTCCATTTACAGAATTATTCTTCATTTACATCTGAATAAACGAAAGGATATTAAAAATACGTAATAGATAGCATATCTAATGGAGCTTCTAATTAATTAAATACTTTCAATTCATTAGCTACCTTGCCTTGATATCCTTCAGGTGACTTAGTTAAAGTAATTTACAAATTATGTGAAAAAAGGATAAGTAAAAAGCCTGTCCCCACCTCTTCCGCCTCCATCCCTCCCTTAAAAAACAAATTTTTTTGACTTTCACCTCCTGGAAATGTTCCAGTCACAAAGTCTTGCCATTGTGACATAGCCTTCTAGTGCAGTAGTGTGTCAGTATTCAGTATACCTCCACAAGCGGTTCAGGCATCACACTGTTATAAATTCTTGGCAGAAAACATGAGATATCAATAAAGTGCAAGAAGTCTTTCCATAAAAGTGTATCAGAAAGTGAATCAGACTGCAAAGTTAAATACCATCTGTGTAGAAGATCAGCATGGCAGTGACTGGCACACTAATGGATATATTAATACTCTGCCAGAGCTAGTACTCTGGAGGACATCACTCTCAGTTACTGCTTTGAGCTTCTATAGTAATTTGAAACTAGTTATGTTCTGGGTAAGAAAAGTGGAAACAAAGGGGAATGGTTTGTAATTGAGCATTTGGCTCCTTAAAGGCATTTTGATAGGTAATTGAAATTTAAATTCTGGTAATAAATTAGTACATGCTATGGCTAACTGTTTGCCCTGCCTAGGGCCCAACTCATATTCATATATTTATTCAAACTTATCCAATTAGACAATCACTTACAATCAACAGTATATTAAAAGGCTCAATTATTTATGTTCATAAATGTGAGACATTTTTCCTTTTGGCACAGTTACAGAGGCTGTATTTCTTTAATCATGTTAATCATAGCTAATCAATACCTGGCACCGCAGTTTGCACAGAAAACAAGGCACAGGTGAGGGATGGTTAGGAGACTGAGTAAAAAGACAACTTCTGTTTCAACAGCAGCATAGTGAGTTACATGCCTTATTCATTTTTAATAGCTTTCGTACAGTAAATGTAGATGCACAAACTTGAACTTTTTTATACGGAACTGATTTTTAAGAGATCCGCAATGAGCTTCCACTCAAAATAAGAGCATCCCAAGAGACTGTTCCACTGGGGAGTATTCCATTCTCCACTTTGCATCAAATATGCAGCATTCAAATGTATTTCAAGTAGTCATGTAGCTTTGTGCTCTCTGTTTACCCAATTAAATATTGGTGGTAACTTACCTATCTTTTCACAGATATCTGTCAGGGAGTCTTTTTGTGTGCATGTCTGACAGCAAAATATATACTCCTTGGTGTCTCTCTAAGTTCATTAATAAATGTGTGCATGTTTTTGTTTAAGGTTCAGATTTGAAAAATTTAAAGTAGTTATCCTGCAGTTTCTTGTGATAAATACCCAGGGGGATTGCCTCCTTTCAGCTGAGAGGTTCTCAGCCTGGGAGCAAAATTCATTCTGCCCTTTTTATAGTAAGTTGTAGATGATGCCTGGCTTGACAAGAATGTGATATCAGAAAGGACCTCACTGTATTAGAGGGACTGCAACCAATCACACACACCTAAATGAGTATGAAGTGTCACACAGTGTCACTTTTAGAGCTGGAATGGATCGTGACAGATCACCTGGTCTGTCTTTCTAACCCAATGGGAAATTAGCTATATCCAAACCATTCCTGACACTTATTCATCTGAGGTGCTTTAAATGGTCCAATAATGGATAGACCACACATTATTCCAACAGCTTATTATCCTAATTGTCCTAACAGCTACGAAACTTTTTGAAAAATCTAATTTAAATCTTTCTTGCTGCAGTTTAAACCCAATACTTCTTCTCACAGTCCAACAAATAAGGAAAGTAACTTATTCCTCTTTCGAGAAACCGATGCAATATTTAGAGTATAAGAATCTAGTAACAGCTGTACGAGCTTATACTGCCAGCCTGGTTCCCTTCTGTAACCATGGCTAAAAGCTGAACATAAAGAGTAAAAACTAAGGAAACATTTCTTCTCACCCTGACCCAGGTTCCACTAGTTTCCATCTGGGATTTCATTAGCCAGAAGTGCTTTATTCTCCCATGTTTATTTGATTATGTCACTCATCCTCAGGACAGTCCTGTTAGACTGCTACTAACTTGTACAACTGACTGGGGCTTATTCAGCTCATACTGTCCTGTGAATTACTTTAAGCTGCTCTAAACCAGTTACGGTTATGTTACCGAAAGCCTAGAAAATAATGATCCACATTAAAATAATATTATGCTGCCAGTGTGTCACAAAGAGACCATCAATTTCCTTAATTTTTCTGAGGATGTTCAAAGTGATGTAAATTAACTCCCAGGAATTTCAGAAACAGTGCAGAATTCAGAAAAGGCATATATCTTTTGGGTCTACTCACTGCAGAAAGCAGTAACTGTTCAACTGGAAGTCTTTTTTCAACCTCTTATTACTCAGACTGTTCTCTACCTCGGCAACAAGAAAATTCTGTGAGAACAATCTTCAGGCTTAAGAGTTTGTATCAATGCTCATTGATACAAACCATTCAAATCTACATCTCCATTGCTCACACAGATTGTATAAACTATGCCTCATCTGCTTTTTAATCGAAGTATTAACGCTGACATTTTTAATAGTAGAAGAAAGGGTTGACATAAATGGTCTTATACTTCACTGCAGTTCTAGATTCTAAACTGACCTACATTTCTTGGAAATTTTCAGCATGAATATCCTGTAAATTATACTAGACATTCTATTCTATTTTGAAATATGAAAGTGATGCCTCAGCTTAATTGATATTAAAGACACACTCCCTTTCTCCACAATGAAACAATGAACATATCCAAACATCTGAGGCACTGCTGGGTCATAAGAGGTTAGCCAGAAAGCCCAGTTTCACATCAGTCAGTTGTCTATCACATCTAATGTGGACTATAAAATGTTCTTGACTCTCTTTCTTTTTTGTTTTCAGTTGCTGGATGGCATGGGAGCCTAGTCTTGGTGCTTTTTATGGGCCAGTAGCATTCATTGTGCTAGTCACCTGTGTTTACTTTCTCTGCACGTACGTGCAACTGAAGCGCCATCCTGAACGCAAGTATGAGTTAAAGGAGAAGACAGAAGATCCCCAGAGAATTCCAAGTACTGAGGTGGGCCATGGTCATATTACAGACCCTGTGTCCATTCCCCAGGCAACTTGTTCCATGATTTCTTCTTCCTTATTGGAAAACGAGCATTCATTTAAGGCTCAGCTTCGAGCCGCAGCATTCACTTTGTTCCTGTTTACTGCCACTTGGACCTTTGGAGCACTTGCAGTATCTCAAGGTCATTTCTTGGATATGATATTTAGCTGTCTTTATGGAGCCTTCTGTGTGACCTTGGGGCTTTTCATCCTGATCCATCACTGTGCAAAACGAGACGATGTGTGGCATTGCTGGTGGTCCTGTTGCCCATCTAGAAGAAACACCTATTCTGTCCAAGTTAATGTGCGCCCAAAGGTTAATGTCAATGGTGACACCCAAGTTCACGCACCTTGTCTTCAGGAGTCACCATGTCCCAACAAGTCGGCCGTGTTCAATCATCCAGCGGCTAGCCACTGCAAGCTTACTAACCTACAGGCGGTTCAGAATCACGTTAACTGCCTTTCGCCTGTGACACCGTGTTGTGCAAAAATGCACTGTGATCAGCTCCTTGATGATGAAGCTCACATTCATGTGCACAACGAGGGAACCTTCAGACCCAATATGCACATTCATAGATGTCTGAAAAGCAGAACTAAGCCACGTTACTTCAGTCGGCATAGGTCTGCAGGTGAAAGAGAATACGCCTATCACATTCCTTCAAGTATCGATGGCAGCATCCACAGCTCACACACAGACAGTCCCCACAGTACGCCTGATAGCCAGTCAGGTCACAGACGGGCCTGCTGCTCAAAAAGCGATCCATATCCTACTGTCAACCAGCCTGAAAGTAGCGACGCAAGTACTGTAATATATAGTTGTGCTAAAATGCCAGAAAGTGACACTGTGCACCATCCAACTCATTTTGAAATGCACCCACGGACACAGTCATTGCCATTTAATACGACGAATCACAACGGAATTCTCAAGGGAAACGTGCATGAAGCCATGATATACAGCTCAGATAGTACAGGAAATATCAAAACTGGCCCTTGGAAAAATGAAACTACTGTGTAGTTCATGGGCCATCATAATGTGCTTTTCCCCCCTAAACCATTGTTATCTTTGGTTTATTCCAGACTAAATAAGATGACATATTTGTGTAGCTCTTCAGCAAGTTGTACAGCTTTCCCATCTTTTAATTCCATTTTCTTAATAAGAGTCTAAAAGAGAGCGATAATGAGAGTTTTGAAGTGAACTTATTTTTAAAAGGAGGTTATAAAATTATTCTGAAGGATAATTAGAAAATGAAGTCTAGACAATTGAATATGAGAGGCAATATCCTTTTGTTATACAGAACAACATTTCTTTAGAAATACATTGTTGTAATTAATTGTTTTCCCTTTTGTTCTGTAGTAAACTCAGACACTTTTTATAAACATATCAGCATCTTAAACTTTTACTTATTTATTTTTGTAGCAAAATATTATTACTGTGCCATGGATTTTAATCAGAAGTGACTGTGGTAGAAATGATAAACAGGATTTTATAAAATTACAGCTTTTTAGACCTACAAAAGTGATACTGCCTCTAAAGATCTTCTGTAGCATATGGCCTGTAAAGTCGTGTAATGTACAGTCTCTGTTCTGTCCTTTTCCTTGTTGGAGAGAAGTGCTAGGTAATGTCTCTGTTACATCTATGGTGCTGTATCGGTTGTATTTTGCATGACATATGTCAGGATATACCATTTGCTGTTTTCTAGTGTTACATGTGTTAAAAAAAGAACAAAAAAAAGTGTTGTACAAGGCTATGAAAAACCCTATTGATATGAATCTAGAGCATTATAAATCTACAGAAAAAAAAATCACTCTGCACTAGTTTAAGTGGCACAATCCTTTGTATAAGGTTATAAGATAGCTTTGATAAGGGTCCACTCTAATGTCTTTACAGAGCATGCACTACTCATTGTATGTGACACTGTGCGGTGTAATAGCAATTGTCTCCACAATTTACACTTCTTTGTAAAGTATGCCTTTTGAACAAATCTGTAAGCTGTTTCACGATCACCTTTCCACATCTGTTAAGGTAGAGCAGTTTTATCATTAACTCTTTGAGGACTACAGTTATTTTCTTAAAATAGCTTATTCTAGTTCAGAGACACTGTATATATGATATTGTCTATTTAGTTACATGACCAATGTAGTCCAGGGTTGTCAGGAAAGAGAAAGTTCAGTCATTTTCTAAAAACACACCTTCTAAAGTCTACCCATTAATTTCAACCCTTCTTTCTGAAAACCCATTTCCTCCCCTAGCAAATATCAGATTGTCCTCATCCTTTAATGCAAATTTGACCTTCAGAGAAGTTCTTTATGTACATGATTTCTGCTGAACTGTAGGGCATTCCAGGGTCAGTACCATTCTCTATTAACAAGGCTCTTGGCAAGAAATTTTTTCACGTTTCCATGAACATCTGGACACAAAGCATCAACTCACAGTACAGAGCTGCATCATAATTATCCCTATATGAAATAAAACCGCTTTTTTCAAATAGGAAGGGTGCAGAATAATAATGGATCACAGAAAGTGAATAGGAGCATAGAGCTGAGAGAAAACCATCTCCAGTGGAAAGCGAGCAGTGCATCCATAAATAAGAGAAAAAGCACAATTCTGTACGGCCACATGAGAAAGTTTGCTGTCATCTCTTAACACAGGCTTATGTAATTGCTACATTGCTGCAGAGAGGAAATAGAAAATTCCCTAGAGAGATCATCAGTCTGCGATTCTCTGTCTATATGTTGCAGAAATCTTCACATAATTCTACCCATTATTTTTCTGTTATTAACAATTTATTAGTCTCTACCTTTTTTTTTTTAATATGTAGGAATACGCTTCCTAATAGTGTACATAAAGATGACAATTATAATTGTTAGAATGTTATAAAAACATGTAAGTCAGATGAATGTGTTCTGCAGTGTTGCAGGTGGGAATTAGTACTCAAAGGGTTAATGCTCAGTATCTGAGTGCAAGAAATCTTGTTTTTCTGTATTTTTGTAAATTTGATATATATATTGTAAACTCCAGCAGTGCAATGTATCCATCTCAGATTGTGTATTTTTAAAAGGTGAGCAAGAAGAATGCACTAGGTGGTTGTCAAATTTTAAGCCAATATACAACAGTTTCATGACTGCTTCTTTAGCTAATACAAAAAAAAAAAAAGCCTGAGCTTTATTATGTATATGCTGTATATGCTTGAACTGTCTCTAAAATACAGTATTTTTCTTTGTTTGCATAATGAAATATTTTCTGTTTAATAATTGTTTCTTTTCATATTACTTTTACCCATTCCACGTAGACAGTGAGCCCTAAACAAGCATAGACATAATGTGAAATACCACTTCTCTGTGTCTCAGCACTATGTATATGTATATTCTGTAATAGCAAAATCCTAGGAGGTCTGTAGACCTTTATGCAAAATATTCCACACACAACCAAGTGAAATACTCTGCAAGAACCCACTCAGTGAGCTTCTTTATTCAGCCTGTGTTTTAATCACCTCTGTTACTTTGTCTGAGGCTAGTTCCATCTTCATAATGGCTTACAAAGAAGTAAATAGGTGCTGCTTTCCACAGAATATCTTATGTGATAAATCTCTCTGGAATTTAAACGTAAAATATTAAAACACTTTTCTTATTGTGTTAAAAAATTAATTTAGTGAATATTTCTGGGCTAATTTGGAAGAGATGTGTTATGCAATAATCTGTTTGCATATTATTTTTTCAGAAAATATACAGTATAACTACAGAGTAGGAAAACATGATATTAAATAAATATAAAAATGTTTTGTAACATCAAATTTGACCAAAATGCTTTTTGTGCTTTTGACTTTTTTTTCCTTAAGATAAATGAGGTAATTTCAACTGTTTGGGAGTCTGCCTTTATTTTAGTGTGGGGTTTTGGTCAATTATAGCCAGTGAACCATTAATATTTACCTGATTTTCTTTCCTATAAAAATAAATTTAGTGAAATAACTGGAGTATAAGAGATATACTTTCCTAGTAAATTCCTCACGGACATACACATGTAACATGCTTCAAAGTCAGCACTGGTTTTGGTGATTCATTGATGACATGAAAATGACTGAACAGATTTTTACTGTTCACTTGCTGTCTGAGATCAAGCATGAGAAGGTTCATCCAAAAAAGGTAATTCTCAGAGAAGGGTGCAATCAACAGAGATCTGTAGGGTTGTCATTGCAGTACTACCAGGATAAAAATATACTCTGATGCTGCAGTGTTCTTCTCTGCATATAGAAATTCCAGTTTTCATGACCAAACGTCAGATCACCTAAGTGACTCCATTTTAAGTCAAATACACTGCTTACAAGAATAATTCCAACCCAGGCTCATATAAAGAGTTTGGTGTCAAAATGCAGCATACATTTTTACACATAATGCCTGCTCATATCACGGTTCCCAAGGAGTCTGTTGATTGTGTCTGCACTAATATGACTGAGCAGCCCCTGTCAGTGGCCGCAAACACATGGTTCTCCTTCACCACAGCTGCCCGCCAGCCACCCTGTGGGCTCTCTAGCCAGATGTTAACCCACCGCAGGAGCACTCTTGCTGTCTAAACCAAAAGCAAGGTCTGTGCCTAAAGCAAAGTCAAGGCCACCTTTGATAGACAACACAGGCAGTTGGGAAACCGCCACTCGAACACCAAGGGCTGAAGGCAGACAAACCTAATGGAAACGGCTGTAAGAAGTACAGCTCCTCCTCTCTCCAGCTCCTGGCCAAAACCACCTGCCTAGCAGGTCTGCTGTCTACAGACATCTGCCAAATCCAGGCAAAATTAGTGGAGGAAGCCTTTTTGTATGTCTGTCACAGCGCTGCTGCATCATGTGTGGGAATATGAGTCTAAGCATCCTGGATGCCCTGAAGATCTGAAAGTGCCCTTGGACAGACACTATTAAGGCTTAAAATGCTGATTCCACAAATTTGGAGGTAGCTTCCTCTGTAAATTATATGCCTTTTCACAATGAAGAGATTGTCTGGCACAGAAGCCTTGTCCACTTGACTATTTGGAAAAAAAAAAAATAGCTGTCATCAGTAACCTTTTTAAATAGAACCTCCTTTGCATGGACACAAAGAAAAGGAAGGTGGGTATGGTTTTCAGCTTTTACTTGCTTAGTTAACTCTACAAAGGAGGGAGCTGTGGGTTTGGTTGTTTGTGTCCTTTTGCTTTGACAAGTTGGCCATTTTTTAAATAGCAATTGAATTGCTGAGAAGAAAACTTGGGCTACAGATCACTTTGACACATACACCGTGGCTTTTTGTTCCCTGTTACTAGGTTTGTGAAGGTGCAAATGAATCCCTGTTCCCTTATCCTACCAGTCTATTACCTGTATTTTTCAAGAGCCAAATAAGCAAGGATTAGTGAAATCAGGACAGTATTACAGGGCTCACTTCTCTGCAAGGAAGATTGAAATTTGGTTTGCAAGCTGTAGAGCAGTTCAACCTCAGAAAATATCCTGCCTTAAGGTTGTGCAGCTGGCTTGTCTGAGAGAGAAGGGTTTTTGTAAACATGGTGTCTGTATACCCCACAGGTACTACTGTCTCTTTGCGTTTTGATCTAAGACCTGTAGTGCCTTGCAGTCTGATCGACAACATGACTGACTGTTCCCATCAGCCTGTCACTCTGCTCCAGCTGTTCTCCTTAACCTGCAGCACATTGTCAACTGAGATTGTCCAGCATATTCAGTGGTTTCATTCAATCCTTTATTTGTTTTCCAGGTACTCAGTAACACCTGAGGAAGGCAGGAGGAGGAGCTTATTTTGGGGCTGGGGGAAACTCTGGAGGAAAGAAGAAAGCAATAAAACACATTATTCATATTATTCTTGAATTACTTTCTTCTGTTAGCCCTTCTGTTACTGAGCTGTAAGCAGTTACTTATTCCCTGATTCTTTTAATTGTAAAACCTTGTTCTCTACTAATTAGAATGTAGCTGAATGTCAAGCATTTAGCTTGATTTATACCCTTAGCACTTATTGCCCTCAGATAGACGATTTTAAAGGGTTCAG